TCGCCCCCCCCCTGTGGAGTAGATCTTGGGTGTTTTGGGCGCCTGTTTCGAGCAGGTAGAGGCTCCCCCATAGGACGCACGGCTCCAAACAGTCGCACCAAGAAGAGGTCCGCATTCAGACCCCCCCCCTCCCCCCCCCTTTCGCCCAGTGTCGACTGGCCGAATATGAAGACGATCACTTTGGGGTACCCCCGCTCTCCGCCCTCCGCTGGCCCGGATTTGCGAACTCCTGAGCGGACAGCATGGCGTCGCGGCAGGGCCCTGGCTGGCCCGGAGCTGCGCTGATGCGGGCCAGTGCGTCCCCGCAGGGGGCGGGCCACGAGCGGCGAGCCCATCCGCACCCTCGCCCGTGTCTCGGATTCCACTCGGAGCCCCTTGTGATATCTCTTGAGCGTTTCTTGGTGGCCTCTTGGGACGTCTTGGGGGTCTCCTGGCGGTCCCTGGGGGGCTCTTGGGCGTCTTGGGTGCCTCGGGGGGGCCTCTTGGTGCCGCTTGGGATCCTCGTGGGGGCCTGCTGGGGGCCTCTTGGGGGCCTCTTGGGGCCATCTTGGGGCCGCGGTCTGGATTTCCTGGGCGCGATCTCGCGGATGCGCGGTCGCACGGGTGCGTTCCGCGCGGGTGCGTTCCGCGAAGAAGACGCTCCGTATCACCAGGCCGCGGCCCACTGCCCCGGCCCGCGAGGCGGGGGGGTCTCTTGAGAGGGCGAGTGCCCTGCTTGGAGGGCCCAACTGAGCCTTCCAAGGAGGCCCCTCTCAGACGCCGCGGGGCGGCTCTGTCACGATCGCCACGAGGGAGCACACGCGGGCGCTCAGGGGCGCCCCAGCCGGTGTGGTGGCCTTCTCTCGGGGGCCCTCCAGCCGGTGTGGTGGCCTCCTCTCGGGGGCCCTCCAGCCGGTGTGGTGGCTCGGGGGTGGGCAGGACCCCCACCCCGACGCGTCGATCAGTGAGTGGTCCGTTTTCGGTTCTCGAAAGGGCGCCGCGGCCGTCATTTTCCAGGCCTGCGCCCGCAAGGTTTGGGCCCGAGGTCGTTTTCACCAAACCACGTTTTGCGAAAGTCAGTATCGTTCAACCCATCCCCATCCCCATTCCCATCCCGATCCCCACCATCCCACCACCCCAGTTGGGGACATGCCCCTCGAAGCCCGAAGGGAACCGCCTACATCCCCCATCTCGGGGGTAAATCGGCCAGCGGGGACCAGGCCACGCCAGAGGGGGATTGGGATCGCTTGAACGATGCTCATAAGACAGGGGGGTTCTGTCCATCCCCCGGGAGGCCACACCGCGTGGCGAGTTCGTGGGGCTTTGGGGCCGCCGTACGATTTCTGTTCGGGGGCTCGGGTCCCGCTGGCGGAGGGACGCCTCGGGCGACCGATGCCTCGCCGCGGTCCCCCAAGAAGCCGTGCGGTCACCGACTCTTGCGGTGAGGCTGCTAGGGATGCGGAGGTCATTGCAGGGTCGTCCTCGTCATCGCCTTCTCGTCGCCCTCGCCTGCTTCTTCTTCTTCTTCTTCTTCCTCTTCTTCCTCTTCTTCTTCTTCTTCTTCGCCCAACAGGCCCATTGAACTCAAGCGGCGCTTCCCATTCTTGTCCGATCAGATTCTGCGGTGAGGCTGCTGGGGGCTCCGAGGTCACCGCAGGGTCGTCCTCGTCGTCGCCTTCTCGTCGCCCTCGCCTTCCTTTGGCGGCGAGCGAGGGGGGAGCCGAGCAGGAGAAGGCCTTCTCAGAAGGCGGCGAAACCTCTCAGGAGCCCTCGCGCCTTCCGAGTAGTCTTCTGCGTCTTCGGGAAAGGCTCAGAAAACTTATCCGAAGGACGGGGAACTTCCGAGCCTTCCGAGAAGGCCTCCTCCTTCTCACTTCCCCCCTCGCTCGCCGCCGAAAAAGCCCATTGGACTCAAGCGGCGCTTCCCGTTCTTGTACGATCAGGTTCTGCGGCGAGGTTGCTGGGGATCCCGAGGTCACCGCAGGGTCTGTCACCGCACCGTTCCCGGGCATCGGCCGCTCCGTCTCTTTGACGCGTGGGCCCTGGAGGTCTCCACCGGGGCCGGTGTTACGTCCCGAGCCCTTCCCTGGACGGCCCCGAGGCCCGGCGAGGGCCCCCGGAGGCCGAAAATGGCGAACACCTTGCCGCTCCAATTTTTGTTGGGAGCGTCGGGTCTCCCTTGCTTTCGGTACCCCGAAGAAGAAGAAGAAGAAGAAGAAGAAGAAGAATAAGAAGAAAAAGAACAAGAAGAAGAAGAAGAAGAATAAGAAGAAGAAGAAGAAAAAGAAGAAGAAGACGGCACGTCCCGAGGGGGACGGGTCCCGAGGGGTTTTCGCCGCTGCGGGGCGCCGAGGGGCCGCCCCTCTGGGCCCTGGGGGCCGCGACAGGAAGGGGCCGAAGACGAGGAGCGGGTCCCGGGGGAGAGCGCCCGGGGTCCAGGGCTGGCCACGCGCAGACCGGGTCAGGGTTCAGTCGGGCGTGTCCCTTCTTACAGGGGGAACATTCAAACATAGTCAAGCAATAGTCTGGGGACGATTTTTGAACCATTTTGTAGGGGGACAGGCCCGACCTAAGGTTGGGGGTCGCTCTCACGGACCAGCGATGCCAAATGCGACGCGCTTTGCCCGCATCCAGCACGATCCAGCACGAACGGTCGCATGGATTATGGCGGCGTGCATCTTTGAGGCCTCTTCTGCAAATGACCAATCATCCCCAATCTGATGAAGCTGGCGGTGCGCACAAGGGGGTTAAGGGGGAGGGGGGAAGGTTTCCTAGAAGCACCCCTGCTTCATAGAAGGCGCGGGCCTCCAGAGGAGTAGCCTCCTTCGAAAGAGCCTTGCCCCCCTCCCCCTACCCTTAAGTCGGGCCAGTCCCTCTACAGGAGGAATATTCCCAAATAGTCAAAATTAGTCTGGGGACGATTTTTGAGTATTATTCGAACTTTGTTTAATTATTTTGGGCGTTTTTTTTATTTTTCGTCCAATATCCGCCTTGTGCGCGCCGCCAAGAGGGCCCGTTTCCTTCGAGGAGGGGATTTACACATAACCATCGCTTGGCGGATCGATTTTTGCGGACCTCCGAAGGCGGTGGACATTGATGTATTGTGGTCCCTGGGGGCCAACATGCATCCATATCCATCGCCCGCTGGGTCCCCATGACATCGGTTCCCAAGCGGCGGATATGGATAGATCACCGCCTCGCATTTCGGTCATGGCAGTCAGTTGGCAGGGGGGCTTCTGAGAGGGCGTACGCCTTCGCAGAGGGACTCTTGAGGCTTCTGAGGAGGCCTCTCAGAAGCCTGGAGGGCTTCAAGGGCCCCTGGCGTCTTGGGAGCCCCACCCGCCTTCTTAGGAAGGCGGCCCCCCTCGCGGCACGGTAGGTTCGCATCGTGTCGACGCGGCGGCGACCTCCCCACCGCGGCCGTTCAAGGATGAACGCCGCCCATGGCCTGGAAATCGGCCAACATGGAACGATCTGGCGATCGAGACGTCGCCGGTCGTTCGCGGCTGAGCGTTCCTCGCGGTCTCAGCAGCTTGCCAGGAGGGGCGTCACGACACCGGCCTGCCACCCCCCCCCCTTGTGCTCGCTGCCAAACTCCGCGCCTCCGTCCGGCGCAGCGACGTGGGACTGGGCGGCCCTCCACGAGCTCAGACCTGCGACAGCCGTGGCTCCCGCCGGCCCCGTGGGCCCAGCAGCCACAGCCGGTCGGTGGGTCGGCCCTGCAGGGTCACGGGCGCCCCGTGTGCTCTGGCCATCGCGTCTCGTGTCCTCTTCCTTGCCTGGAGCTCAGGGGCAACGTCAGGGGGGGGGAACACCAGTCCCCCCCTTGCGTCTCTCCTCAGGTCGGCATGCACGATATGGGTACAGAAAGAATGGGTACAATGCCCAACAGCAGTTCCTGTTCATTTCGAACTGGACTCGCTGTCCGCGCCGCCGCGGCCTGTGTCCATTTGAGACAGAAGGCCGCCTGCCGAACAGCGGCCGCTGTTGGTTTGGGGCAACATTTGTTGTGGGGCATTGTGCCCATCCTTTCCGTACCCGTTTCGGGCGTCCAAGTCAGGGCCGTGAGCGGCTGGACCCCAGCTTTTTGCACCATTTTTCGAGCTAGATCGATCTTTTGAGGGTCCCTGGGCCCGAA